AGACTGACAATGGCCACGTGCGGCGTCACCGCAATATATCCGACGCATCATCAGGGGTCATAAATTTCACGTGCGGTGTGTGTGCATAAAATGTTTAGTTTGACGAGGAGAGCGCGCGAGGCGCTGCATTTACTTGGTGGCCCGGCTCGGCAGTTCGAGCCACCTTGGGGTGGTGCTCGGCGCATGTGTTTCCATGCAACCCCCCGCCACCGAGAAACACCCTTTCGCTCCAAACACGAGCCCTAAGCCTCAGTTAGAGAGCCCAGCTCCAAAATGCCGCCGCTCCATTAGCACCGCGCCGGCACTGCCGCTTTTTCCATCATGTGCAGCCATTGTTGCCCAAAGTCCGATTGTTGCTCCAAAAAGATCGCCGAAGAGGCCGACAACGAGGACCGGTCCCTTTCAGGTACAACCAGCTGTAAAAACGTAAATAGAAATTTTGCACAGGAACAATTTTTTGTTGTAGACAAATAAGCCGAGAAAAGATTAAAATTGTGCTAACAATTTTTAAGTGTTTGAAAATTAAGTCCACTTTCTTCTAATTTCTATTTTGAGATTTTTGCTATAGAGAGCAGGTTATTTTTTTTTTTTTTAAACAAAAAAAGCAATGAGGAAACGCAAAATTAAAACTTAAAAAACTTGTTTAGAAAATATTCTGATATCAAATTGAAAAACAAAAACTATTTCCCTCCCCTTTTATAATTTTTTTTGTCATTTTAGTAGTTTCTTTAAAAAAAAAAAAAGTGAAGATACTTGGTATTTAATCATGGCCCGGTGTTTCCTCCGTATTATTTTCAATGGTTTTCTGCAATTTTACATCGGGGTTGAATTATGTAAAGCCGAAAGGCTGAAATAGAATTGGCAAATCCCGCTCAAAGAATCAGACTCGAGGGCTCTGATTCAGTAAGAGGATTTCCAAGTTTATATAGATTGACGAAATCCTGTTATCAAAGAAGAGCTACGGTGAAAAATAAAACACATATTATTAATTTTCGATTTCCTTAAACTCAAAAAGGACACGCGCCTGGTTAAAATTAATGCTAGCAAACGATTGATATTTTCCAATGAATGCAAAAAGTTTCACCAAAAATTAGTCTTTTTAAATAAATATAATAAAAAATTGCAAAAAAGAACCAAATTTTTTGGCTCATAGTGGTTTTTGATCAATTCTGGAGAACGATTATTTCAAATTATGTGATCCAACATTAATTTGATGATATCTCAGAATATTCTGCATCAATAAAAAATGCTTTCTCGAAATGATAAAAAGAAATAGCTGGAGGGAAAAAATAGATATGAAGTTATAAACTAAAAGAATAATTATAGTTAAGGTGAAAATAATAAGCAGCAAGTTGCGCATAAATAAATAAAGTTTCAGTGGAGAAATTAATTTTTATTTTGATATTTTAAAGATCTATTGTTTCCTTCAATTTCCATGCTAATTTTCGGTGAACATTTTGCTTATCCGTCAATTTGAAGCTTGCTCACATCTATCAATCAATAAGCCGAGCTGGAAATTAAATGCGCATCCACATATTTGAGACGCAATACATAATGCTATAAATAATAATGTCGCCGAGCTCGCGACGCGCAATCAATCAATCTGGCAAACAGGAAATCTGATACCGCGCGCTCACGTATACATCATATCTTTCCTTTTCATTCTCCTGGCGAGCGATTTTCGTTCGCTTCGCGCGACTGCAGGTTAGGCAACCGGCGCGCACACTTGGGTACAATTACGCCGGCCGACGCTTTTTAATTGGGGGAGCTGCAAGAAGGAAGCCTTACAATTGAAATGAAACATTATTCTTTGGGATGAGCGGCATATAATGTGGGAGCCTCGTCAGCGAGGAGTAACGAGAAAGCAGGGTTTAGCTAGGGGTGCGTGTGTGTACATAGGTATAGATATGAGCCTGTGTTTAACTCGATGGCTTTTACAACGTGTCGAAAAGTGAATCTAACACCCATGTGGGGAAACGTTGACCGCTTTCCTCCCTAATGCATTGAAAGTTGAAACGCAAAAGTTATTGTGTTTCTTCAAATCTCAAAATCATAGAGAAAAATCCATTAAAAATATTGCATTTTTTTAAGTAGAAAGATTTGGGCAAAATGAATTAAGAATAAATATTTTATGCATCATGTGCGAAGCAGACATTTCTATATCTAGAAATCAGTAGCATAAATGCTTCTGAGGCCAATTGATGTCTCTTGTTACAAATTGTTATACAAATTTTAAATTAAAAGACAAACAATTTTTTGGTAGGAGAATATCAAATTGTTTGGTATAAGCCACCTTTAGCAATTTTTATGCTTAATTATTTTTAATAAAAAAATATTTAAATTAAATTTATTACAAAAATAGTTATCAATAGAGCAGAATAAAATTATTTTTAAAGTAAATTAATAAATTTATTTATTTGCTGTTTCAATTTAAGTGCATTTTTTAATTTAAATCAATTTTAATGTTCAAATAATATTCCTCCTTGGTGATTTGAATTTAAAGTTCTCTTTTTCTCGAAGAGTTTGTGGGTTATTTACTTTGTTAAGAAAAAACAATATCCTGCGCTAAATGTTTCGGCTGCGAGCTGCAGCTATAATTCATGAGCTGTGTAATCATTTTGACAAGAATTAGTACAAACATCAATTTTTTTTTTAATATTTTTTTTTAAAGTAACACTTTTTCGTGGAAAATTATTTAAGAGTGCAATTTTACACAAAACAAAACGCGAAAATGTTTATTAAAAATTGATTTTTCAACTCATTCTTTTCAAAATGATTTCACAGCTCATGAATTATGGCCGCAGCTGAAACACGTAGAGCAGCATATATTGTTTTACTTAAACAATAAACAACTCAAAAAACCCATCGAGGAAAATCTGACTTTAAATTCAAATCATCATTCAAACCCTCGATCGTAAAATTCTACTACAAAAAATATTTTCTTCCGTTCTATAATAAAATTCTTGAATACTTTTTTATTTTAATGAGAAACAATGATAATCAGCGTAATTCATATTAAAAATCATTCAAATTCAATATTCAATATGCTTTGATATTAAAAGGAAGTTTTTAAACACAACAAGGAAAATGGAATTTTCAAAAAACATGCACATAATTTTCTGCAATGTATTGTAAATTTTTTTCATTTATTTGTATATTTTGCTGTTTTTTAATGATAAAGTTTTCTTTCCTTTTTTCATTATTCTTGAAAAGTAAAAGTTATGAAAATCGAAACTAAAGCAGCATTGTAGTCCATTTTTTTATAGCAAAAGCCAGAGGAAATAATGGGGTGTGCGGTGAGCTCTTGGCAGCGACCATACCTCGAAATTCATAATGAGCAGGCTTTAGCGCGGAAATTAGAATAAGCGCGCGCGTTGCTCATTTTCGCGGCGCTGTTTGTCATAATAAAGCAGAACGTAATGGGGAGAGCGAGATGGATTGTCCATCGGGTTGAACCCGGCCGACCCAAGCGGGTCGAAATAGGTCAGTGCCCCGGGTGCAGGCGAGCTGCATTTCAATTTCGCTGCTTTTGCAATAGACACTCGCGGAGAGAGAGACAGAGAAATTTCCACCCTTCAAACACTGCTTTTTCATTCCTTTGCTGCTGCACTGCGCTCTGCACTGAGAAGCGGCAAAAACTTTCTGCAACTGCAGCACAAAACAAACTTTGTGAGATGTGCAGTCGAGAGCAGAGTGAGGCGCTGAGATTTTCAATGAGATGAGAAATATATACTGGTCCGGCATTTCGCAAGAGATGTTTGCACTTTTTAAACTTTGAGTGAAGATTCAAAGATACGTGTAACGATATTGAAATTTTATTTATTCTTAATTCTCCAAAAATACTGTTTTTCTTAACCAATGAAATTGTTTTTTCTCAATCTTGAAATTTTTTATGAATATAACTAATTATTAACTAAAAACTTAAAAAATTATACTAATAAATCTACAAGTAAAAAAGAATAAATATTTTTAGCAATTAAGGCTTCTTATAACCATAGTCAAAGTGAGTCAAAATCTTTACAAAAATATCATTTATTCGCATTCATTGAAAAACAGTTGGAAATTGTAGCTAACCATTTTTGTAAAGACTTTGGATTTAAAACATTTAAGATTATTTAAAACTTTCATTGCAAAAATATTTAATAAAAAATACCAAATAATTTTAACCAACTTAATTAATTTAAATTGAAACTTGGCTTAAGAATTTTATTTTTAAACATTTTCTATACATTTTTTAAAACACACAGATTGAGCATTGAACTAAGTAGTTAATTATGACAATTTATTTATTTTAAAATATATTTTTTTTGCTGCTTATCTTATTCATCAAAATGCAAATTGAAAATCATCAGCAGTCACGGGGCCACGAAGTTAGGAGCCTGATGGAATTAAGGGCTCAACAGTTTTGAAACTTTTAATTAATTTCCAAGAGCAAAACGAGCCGAGCTCGCCCACTCTGATCATTACTTATTAAACAATAATCATGCGCACGCTGAGCTCTCTTCTCTCTCTCACCGCAGCAGCATCAACATCAGCACAACTTTCATTCACTGCTCTGTTCAAAGTCTGGGTGGGCTGCTGGGAAAATGGAAAGCAGGGGGACGCAGGCGAAGAGACACGGGCGCGTCATCTTGGTCTGCAAAAAGACAGAATTAAAATTTCATGAAGCAGCATGACGGCAATAAAGGCGACAGCATTTATGGCGCAGCACGGCGCAACCGGCGCCTATTCATTTTCCGCCTGCTCGTTATGCAACCGGCAGCCGTGCCCACTCTGAATTAGTAATCGCGGCATTCGATCATCCCCTTGCGGACGTTTTTCCACCAAAATTATTACATGCAAAAATTTAGAAATGAAAACTGTTGCTCGCATAAAAGGATTAGAAACTTTTCAGAGAAACAATTTTTTTAATAAGAACAAAGTTTTTTCTTGAATGTTAAATTCGAAACTTGAATGTAATTCATTTTCCGATTTGTTAATTTTTTGTTTGTTTGTTGCAGATGATGAATGGAGCGACGGAAAGCCGCGACTGCCCGGTGACCCCAACGGTGAGTCACACACGTGTTTCCATTACGTGCAAAAAAGGGCCCGGGGTTTTGACTCGTTGCCAACCCTTTTCCTATAAACGATAGGAGAGTAAATCTATCACAGTTTTTATCGATTCTCGAAACGGTTGTGACGCAGACAAAGCGATTTGAATTTTCTCTACCCGAAAATAATTTTCATCGACTGTTCAGAATGGAGTTCGGCAATTGAAAAGTGTTTAAATTTTAAAGGAATCCTTTGATTAAGTAAGACAAAAACCAATAATACTAAAATTGAATAAAATTCCAAATTAAAAAAAATGAAATAAAATGAAAATAATATATAAAATTTTCTTAAAAATTAATTATTTAAATATAAAAATGTTTATTTGTAGTTAAAAATTATATTGTTAATTTAGGTTTAACTACTATTTTTTTGTAATTTTCAAACTCCACTGGGGGATTCCTCCTTATGTCGTTGCAATCTTATAGAGCCATCCAAAATCTGAAATGCGACCCTCTCACTCGATTTTCCGATTTGTGCCACTCGCTGCCCTCGCTTCTGCCAGCTCCTCCCGAAATTCGCATGGGAGCCAAGTACGAGCAAGTTCTTTGAGATAAATACCGACGGGGTCACGGGGGGAACTCCACTTCTACTTTTCTTTCCCCGAGGCACAGCAGATTCTTTTCCGGGCAATATTTCACAAGGGCGCATCCGAAGAAGTCTCCGAACATTTTGCGTCGGCGGAGCGCCCGAAAATCTGACTTTTGGTAACTCGACGCTGCACCTGGGGCGAATTTTTGCGGAGAACGGTTTCGATGTCCTAAAGACCCTCTTTCACGGCGGGCTGCTCTTGCACCAGCCAAGAATTTCCCAACTGCAAATAACAAGAGGGAAAGCAAAACTCTCGAGATAAGAGACTATATACGACTGGCTACACAGTTTGCGACTTTCCTTATAGTCCTCGAAACTATACAAGTTCAAGTAGTTTCTCTTGAGTTGCTAGCTTGACATTTGTCGCAAAAGACGTTTTAGGACTTTTAGTAAAATAAAAAAGATGAGATATGTTGATTTCATTGCAAATCAAGAAAACAATTTAATTTGTGAGGAAAACTATAGAATTTTCCTTCCTTTTTTTTAAATCAATGTTTTAAATTTTATAGAATATAATTTAAATTTAAAATCTCGTCGAGTATTTGTATAAAAATGGCACTCAAAAAACGTATTACACTTTTTTGCTTAATAAAGAACTATTTTTACCTTAAATTTGAGCCTTCAAAGTCACTTTTTTCCAGTTTGATTGTTAAATTATAAATATGTTGCTTTTTTATATCGTTAATTTTTTAAGTTAAAAAAATATAACCTTCCTGAACATTTTATTGGAAAAAATACAAGTATCATAATCTAGAAAATTTATATGCTGAAATTTATATCAACTTTTTTTCATCTTCCTTATATATTTGTATTTTTCGCCAACTTAATTAGCTTCCTCTGGCTTGTTCATCCAAGGCAAACAAGGAAGAAAATCGCTTGGCATCAATTACTTACTAGCCATTGCGTGCCCAACTCGCGTCCGTTTTCTCCCCGGACTCGTCTTTTCTCATCCTTTCTCTTTCTTACTTGGTCTTCTTCAGTGCGGTAGCCCTCAATTACTTGGTTCTTTTCTCCCTCCCAGCCCGAAAGGAGAACTTTTGCGTAGGCAGAGGAGTTTTCGCTCTCATTCTTTTTTCATCTCAGTGCAAATCGTACCAGCTCGTCTATCTAACGGAAGCGAAATGAGCCAAATTTGTAATTGTCACCTGAGAGAGCGGATCGATTCGATACGTCCAATCGGCGAACCCATCAATTTGCATTAGCACTCCGCAGTCAGTTTGAATCCGTAGCTATGAGGCAATTACCTCTGCTTTGATTGCGCGCTTGTCAATTAGGCGACTCCATGTTTTGCGAAATTGATATTTTTTTTTCAATTTGTCAGCAATCGGGGTTTGAGTTTGGTCGGGCAATGCTTGTTTTAATTAAATTGCGACTCGTCTCAAAACAAATAAAACAAAAATATATTTATTTCCTAATAAACGATAGTCAAATCACGTTACAAGCTAAAAAACAAAAAATTTTGAAATAGATAAATTAAATAAAAATGAAAGTTATGCTGAATTAAAAAATATTATTTAAAATATGTTAAAAAGTACATATGGCTTTATAAATGGGGAGTTGCATATTTCAAAAGCAATGATAAAAAGATTCCACAAGTTTGGAGAAAATTTTAGAATTTTAGATTAAAAAGCTGTCCTCTTATATTTATTATAAAATTTAAATTTTTTAATAATTAATTATTATTAATTTATTAGGAGAGCAAAGGTTTGGCTGCAAATCTATATCAGAAGGAAAATTTTGGTGAAAAAAGGGGAATGTAATGCGTCTGCTTTTTTCTTTGATTAATTAGCATTTTCAGTCTCCAATTGTAATATTTTAAAAGAAGCCCCAGGTAATGTTGTTAATAAGAGAATAAGCATAAAAAAACTACGTTAAAAAAGTTTATAAATATATTCAGAATGATTTTATTTTATATCTTACTTGGGTGGCCACAGCAAGTTTCAACGCAAAGATGTTGTCAAAATGACCAACTAGATTAATAAATATGCATTTGAGGAAAAAAATTAACCTTATATAGCGTTGTTTTGGGAGCTAAGGTTCAATAATATTGTGTGTTTGAAAACCAATGAAAGAATTTCAAAAAGTTTTAATTTAAAACATAAATTAACCTCACAATTATTCAATCTTCACAAAATTCGCAAAGATCCGTTGTCAGAATTTAGTTTAAAAGAGATTGAAAAAACAAAAATTAAACAAAGCGGTGTAAAATCGTCAAATTCATACAAATTTTTTTTAAATTTTTTATTTCAAAAAAGTTACTAAGGCACACCATAGTAAATTAAATCTCATTGAAATTGGCGAGAGTGCGTTGAGCAGAGCTGACGAAGCACGTGCTTTGGCTGCGCGAATTCGGGGCCAAGCCGTGATGGCCTCTGGCGTCGGGGCGGCGAAGCTGCAGCTGCCACCCTAGCCGGCGCCCTCTTTTATCGACCACACGCCACCCCAGTCGTTGGCTCGGCAGACACTCAGATTGACTGACGAGCAGGCCAACGAACGCACGCACCGGCTCTCTCGTGTGTAAAACTCCTACTCCGCACACTTACTACAGCCGCAAAAAGCGGCGTCGCTCGCGAGCTCAGCACTCGCGAATTCAGCCAACAGGGTCAAACCCGCGGTCAGCGTGAAGGAATGGATCTCGTGCGCCTCAGGTAGGCAACCAGCCAGACACACATACACACACTCACACGCCCTCCGCCGCCGGTGATTTATCGTCGGCTCTGCGCTTCCGCCGGTGTGATTTTCTGATTAATTAGTCCTCGCCTCTTTCACCCTTTCTTGTTCTGCAGCCCCACGGCTGAAATTATTTCATTTAACCCTTTCAGCGAATATTCCTCAAAGGGAATCAATTTCCGAGGTTCATTGAATGAAATTTCGCGGAAAATTTTAATAATCAGTCCAGTTGTAAGAAAATTAAATTAGAGGAAGATTTATTATTTTAATTCAAGTTGTATACAAAAGTTATTCCAACAAAAATACGTTATTAGGAAAATTAATAACTCTAACTTTCGCAAATCAAACCCTTACAATATTTTTTTTCAAGTTCCAGGAAAAATTTAAAAAGAAAAATTAATCTTATACATGGCTATAGCATAGATAAAAGACGATTTCACGATATTCAAACTGAACAACCTTGTTATTCAGCAGATAAGCTATTTCTAAGAAAATTGAAAGCCACTCTTAAATATAATTTTTTTAATCATTTCCATGTTAATTTTCTTAATAATTATCATAATTTTTGTATTCAGTAGCTGATTAAATTCAGAACACTTTAATTTGAAATAAAATAATTAAATATATGAAGAGCAATTAAAATGCAGCAACTATAACTAAAGCTTGCCTGAATTATTCGCAGTAATAAAATAAAAAATTTGATTTTTGCCGCTTGGCTCTTTTTTAGGACTCCTTATTTAAATGGTCAAAATAAGTCTTTACAACAATGTATGACTTATTTAAAATTTTCATCCAATAATTCAAAAAAAGCAAAGACTTGATTTTACTATGTAAAATGAGTCATTATAAGTTAAAATAGTGAAATTTTTAATTGTTGCACTTCAACGGTTTTCCAACTTCCAACAATATGAAAATAAACCCAATCATTTGATATAAAAAAGTGGTATTAAACCTTGATTTTTGGCCGCATAGAATTTTTATTATTTTTCAAGTTTTTACCTTTTAATTTACTTGTTTAAAAGGTGGAACAAAAGTGAAAAATAATTTATTTTTTTTAAATTTTAACAAATCGAAACGAATTTTTTATGATTTATAGTACCATTTCTCTTATGAAGGAAGTTCTTAAGCGCCCAATTTGGTCGCGCCTCCCTTTTTGCCATAGCGAATTCAGCCCCTTTTATGCGAATTGAGAGCTTTTTGAGTTCCTCTTTCGTTTTTCTGCCGCGGCCCCAAAGTGCAGAAGATAAGAATCGGCGCGTGTTCTGCTCGCACAACCCACAGTGGGCCATAAATTTGGCCGCCGCTGCTCGAATAAGCTCCATAAAAACAGAAATAAAACCGACAGCAGCAACAAAACAAGGCAGGGCCGCACGCCAATAATGGTAATTTGCACTTCCGAGGGTGCGAAAAAAAATATTATGCATTCGGGCGGAAGGAATATTAACACATTTTGGCCCCAAAGTTGAAAATTTCCATCTTCTTTGACGATTTATTATAAAATTGTCGCCTGCTCAGTGTAAAAAGTGAGTCTTGAAGTACAATGGGTACGTTTTATTCTGGCACCTGGTGCGCGAAAAATCTAAATCTGGTCGCATGTGACACTGCATGCCTAATTATATAACGAGCAGACACGCCTCTTATCGCGTTCGTCGCGCTGACGACTTTCTCTCTCTTGCTTGTTATGTTGTTGTTTTTGCGA